TTTAACCCATTGTTCTGAGCGCTAACACTGCCCCCAGGGCCTGGCTCAGCCTGATCCCACAGCCTGATCTCATACCCTGATCCCACATCCTGATCCCACACCCTGATCCCACAGCCTGATCCCACAGCCTGATCTCATACCCTGATCCCACAGCCTGATCCCACCTCGATCCCACACCCTGATCCCACCCCGATCTCACCCTGATCCCACCCTGATCCCACACTGATCCCACACTGATCCCACCCCGATCCCACCCCGATCCCACCCCGATCCCACACTCACGCCTGCACTCCGGGGCAGCTCCGCTCCACACCAGCCTCTCGCCATCCTCGGAGGTGCAGTAGATGGACTCGTCCCCGATGAGGGACAGCCCCTCTGCACAGCTGTACTTGACCTCAAAGCCGTAGGGGAACTGCTTGACCCCCAGGGCAGAGTGCTGCCCGCTGGCGATTCTGGGAGGGGGATCGCACACTGGGTGAGGTAAAGGCAAAGCTCAGGTTCTCATCCATGGGGAGGCAGAACGCAGGGGGTGACACCAGAGCTCTGCCACTCCTCGCAGTCCTGGCCCTGGCCAGCTTTGGCTGTGCCAGCGTTGCCAGTGTGACCCACTGAGGTGCAGCCATCCCTCAGCCCCTTCCTTATCCCCTCCTCTTTTCCATGAGAAACCATCCTGCTCCTAAGCACGGTCAGGGAACGGAGAGCACCCGAAACCCGCTGAGGAATCCTTGGAGAAGCGGCTGCGAGCCCCATTCACCAGCACGTTTCATCCATCCTGGGATGGATTTCGGTGGGAGATGGAAATGCTGAAGCCTTCAGTGCCGTGGGTTGGGCGCCTTCTCCTCACACCTCACACCTGACACGATTTTCTCCCCAGGGATGGAATTGGCAGCCCCGCTGCCGCTGTCCCCACTCACCCCTGTCGCAGTAGGGCACGGGGGGTCTCCACATCCCCTCTGCCAGGCACTGCACCCTCTCGCTGCCCCTGAGCGCGAAGCCAGGCTCACACTGGAACTCCACCTGCTGCCCGAAGGTGTAGGCGGCTCTCCTGGGGCTGGCCTCTCTCCCGTGGGGGATGACCGGGCTGGGACACTGCACCTCTGGGGAACAGCAGCATCAGAGAGGAGAGATTTGCACCGAGGGATCCCCAGCGCTGCTGCTTCACCGAGCCAGGACACCTCTAAGCAGAGCTGGCGGGCTCGGGGATGGGAATTGCAGGCTAACAACCATTTCTCCATTTCTCCTAATGTGCAGAAGGATGTGAGAGCCCCGCGATCAGCCAGAAATTGTGCTGAGGGGATGGCCCTGCGTCCCTGAATCCTCCTTGGAGCCGCTAAATAACCAAGGGGAGCTGCAGCTTTTCCTTTCCGGCTGCGCCACCCTTTGAGCAGCAAAATTACTGCCAGGGAGAGCCGAAGAAATCCCGCTGGATTTGGGAAAGCGAAGGAAGCGATGGACTCACTCTGGCACAGCCGGGGCACCGAGGACCACGTGAAGTTCTGAAGACAAGTGATGGTTGGGGACACGCCGGGGATCGGGGAGAAGCCGAGCCTGCAGGAGTAGCTCACGGTGCTCCCAACCGGGAACTCCCGCCGGGGCTGGAGATCGGCGAATTCCACAGGGGGAGGGTGGGGACACTGCCCTGGGGACAGAGCAGGGGACATCATAGAGCAAGGGACACAGAGCTGGGGACACTGCCCTGGGGACAGAGCTGGGGACACAGAGCAGGGGACACAGAGCAGGGGACACTGCTCTGGGGACATCACAGACCCCCAGCACTGCCCTGGGGACAGAGATGGGGACACAGAGCAGGGGACACTGCCCTGGGGACAGCACAGACCCCCAGCACTGCCCTGGGGACAGCACAGACCCTGAGCACTGCCCTGGGGACAGAGCAGGGGACACTGCCCCGGGGACAGACCTAGGGACATCACAGAGCAGGAGACAGCACAGAGCAGGGGACACAGAGCAGGGGACACTGCTCTGGGGACATCACAGACCCCCAGCACTGCCCTGGGGACAGTACAGACCCCCAGCACTGGCAGCTTTTCTTTGATGGAAAACCCCCCAAAAACAAGTGAGGAACCCCTGAGCGTGGCTGTGGAGCGCGTGGGGTGAACGGAAAGGGAAAACCAGTGGGGAAAATTCACCTGAGGACATGAACCGGGTGAGAATCTTTATTCTCACCCACTTTGGTACCTGCTGGGTGTCCCCTGCAGGAGGGGACAGCCCTGCCACGCTCCCCAGGGCAATCCCAGAGGGAATCCTGCCATCCAGCAGCGCTCCCGCTGACTCCCACCCTCCGAGCCCGCTCCTTTTCGGGGAGCAGCAGGTGGCAGAGGCCAGGAGGGGGATGTGAGCTCACCTGGCACGCAGGAGGGCACCCGTGGGTACCAGCGGCCGCCGGGCAGGCAGCGCACGGTGCTGGCAGCGCCCAGCGGCACGAAGCCGGGCTGGCAGTGCAGCGTGGCCGTGCTGCCCCAGGTGAAGTTCTGCGCAGAGATCAGCTGCCCGTTCGCAATGTCGGGGATGGGACACTGAGCCCCTGCGGAGCACCAAAACACAAAATGGATTTTCGGGAGTGCTCTGGCACCGCAGTGAGAAGTGGGATGGGGCTGAGAGGAGACAGAGCTGCGCGGTGGCTGCACAGACTGAGGCTTTGGGGGTGAATAAATGTAAGATATTCCTCGGGGTGCGGAGGGTCTGGTATGGATGCTAACTCTGAAATAGAGAGCACGGTGCCTGTGGAAATTGCAGGCCACATAACTTCCTCAGTCTTGCCTGAGAAAGTGGCCTGGGAAATCATGGGGAGAATTCAAACAATCCTCAGAGATAGAGAACAGCCTTGCAGGTGCTGTTTGTCTGTTCCTTGTTTTCCGGCAGGAGAAGGTTGAAGGGTGGTGAACCCCACTGACCAATGATGGTGATGTGTTAGTTTACTAACCAGTAAGAGTTTATTTTCTGTACTTTTCACGTATTGGTCTATAAAAAAAAGACCTGAGGTAATAAACCAGGGAGAAACTCTCCTGATCCACTCCCAGGAGAGTCTGTGTCGTTCTTCTCGCCACGACAGTCTGGGACACAGCAGAGACCTCTCCATAGTCGAGTTAGATGTTGGGAGTTTATTTCAGGGCATGGGTGAGAGATCCAACAGATGAAGCTCAAAACAGGCTCAGAGGGAACATTAGAAAAAGGGGTAGAACATGAATACATGAGTTAAGATAGCTAAGAAAGAGAGTAACAGAACAGAAGTAAGAGAGCCAGAAAAAGAGGAAGAACAGTGAGCTCTCCTTTACAATTGTTTATATAATTTATACATTGAATATTCTATTCCTTCACCAACCAATCTTTCTAAGTATACTAATACAGTCACATTTGTGTGTGACCTATAGAAATCACTGCTTTTGCATATTTTTAGTTATATCAGGGTACTTCAGACCTTTCCTTATAAGGCTGGGGAGAGGGGTCTCAGCTTAGTTTTATTGGGGGGAAAAATGTGTTCTGGCATGCCAGACTGGTATTTTTTAATTATTCAAATTGTTCTTTCATTTGTATTTCTTCCTTAGCCTCTCTGGCTAGGGAGTCATATCTATAATTCCATTCTGATTCTGCCTTTCCAACAAATAAACATCCTGAACCTGCAGGGTTTCCTTCCTGCACCATCAAACCCCTTCTCTGCCCTCCCCTTGGGGCACTGCAGTGACCCAGCCCCCGTGGGTGACTCTGGGGTGCAGCAGCCCCCTCCAGCCGTGCAAAAAAAGATGCTCTGGGCACACCTGCACCACCTCTGGGCACACCTGCACCACCTCTGGGCACACCTGCACGTGTGTCCCAACAGAAAACTCCTCATTCCACATCTGCCATGAGAAATATCTGGGAGCTCATCACAAATAACAGAGAAAACAGAGCTCCAGCAGCTCTAACTGGGATTTCTTCATGCCTGGCAGGTCACCAAGACGGAGTTAAAAACAAGTTTGAACATCCTGGCTCACATCCAGGTGCTGCAGCGTCCCACATCTGCACCGTGCCAGGGCAGGGCCACCGATGCTGCCTTTGGTGCAGTCCCCATGGAAAATATCTTGGGAAAGATCTTGTTTGCGTCTCCTCCGGGCCCCAGATTAATTATTAGCGCCTCATTAGTAGCGTTTGGCTTTGGGAAATGAGCTGAGAAGCATCAGAAGTAAAAGCAATAAATATTAAGAATGAAGCCAGTGTGCACAGGCAGTGCTGGTGCAGGGAGAGGCTGGGACAGGCTGTGCACCCTGGAGAAGTTTCTGGAAAGTTTTGGGTTTAACCAAACCTCCAAGTTCCAGACAGAAACTGGTGTTTATTTCCCTTCCCAGAGACATCCATTACTCAGCAGATTTGTACTTCTCCAGTTCTGAGGTCAGCTGGGGGATCCCGGCCGTGCCCCAGCTGCCCTGAGCACGTCTGGAGGCTGAGGCACCACAGAATCGCTCAGAGAATCATGGAAGGGACATTAAACCCCAGCCAGAGCCACCCCTGCCATGGCAGGGACACCTCCCGCTGTCCCAGGTGCTCCAACGCCCATCCAACCTGGCCTGGGACACTTCCAGGGATCCAGGGCTGCTCTGGGCACCCTGTGCCAGGGCCTGCCCACCCTGCCAGGCGACAATTCCTGCCCAAAATCCCATCCAAACCTGTCCTTACTCACCTTAAACCCATTCCCCTTTCCCCCCCTCGCCATTCCTGGTGTAAATCCCCTCTCCTGCCCTCCTGGAGCCCTTCAGGCACTGCAAGGCTCAGTCAGCTCTTCCCAAAGCCCCGGTGGAAGGAGAGCAGAGCCCCAGGAGAAGGGAGGACTCACCCCGAGTCCCTCAGCTCTTCCCAAAGCCCTGGTGGAAGGAGAGCAGAGCCCCAGGAGAAGGGAGGACTCACCCCAAGTCCCTCAGCTCTTCCCAAAGCCCCGGTGGAAGGAGAGCAGAGCCCCAGGAGAAGGGAGGACACTCACCCCGAGTCCCTCAGCTCTTCCCAAAGCCCCGGTGGAAGGAGATTAGAGCCCCAGAAGAAGGGAGGACACTCACCCCGAGTCCCTGGTGGCTGCAGCAGCAGCAGAGCCATCAGTGCCAGGAGCTGTCCCAGGGCTGGGGACATGCTGTGGGACAGGAGACAGAGCAGATCCTCTTTCCCCAGAGCCACCAGGGAACGGGAAACAGCAGCGGGAAGTTGGGGACAGGACAGACACGCCACTGACGCCACCCCCAGCAAGGCAGGGAAGGCTGGGCTGATAATAAATAAAATAAATAAGTAATAAAATAAATAATAAAATAATAAATAAAGGTGTTTTACGGCCTGGCCTCGTCTGAAGCTCATTTCCACCCAGGGCAGGTGGGGTGTGGGGTCAGGCTGCTGTGACCCTGCACTCATGGAACAGCAGCTAATTCAGCTCTTTCTTTACATGCACTGGAAATAAACCCGTTTATTAGATACACTTTATATATTATTCATATTTATCTATTTATACTTATATTATTTTATATTTTATATTTTATATTTTATATTTTAAATTTTATATTAAATATTTTATATTTTAAACTTTATATTTTATATTTTATATTTTATACTTTATATTTTATATTTTTTACTTTAAACTTTATATTTTATACTTTATATTCTATATTTTATGGTTTTATATTTTATATTTTATGTTTTTAAATTTTATATTTTTACTTTATATTTTATATTTTATACTTTATATTTTATACTTTATATTTTATATTTTATATTTTTACTTTATATTTTAGATTTTTTACTTTATATATTAGATTTTATATTTTAAACTTTATATTTTATATTTTGTACTTTATATTTTATATTTTATATTTTTTACTTTAAACTTTATATTTTATACTTTATATTTTATATTTTATGTTTTCAAATTTTATATTTTTACTTTATATTTTATATTTTATACTTTATATTTTAGATTTTAGATTTTAGATTTTTTACTTTATATTTTAGATTTTAGATTTTATATTTTTTACTTTATATTTTATATTTTATATTTTAAATTTTAGATTTTATATTTTTTACTTTAAACTTTATATTTTATACTTTAGATTTTATATTTTATGGTTTTATATTTTATATTTTATGTTTTCAAATTTTATATTTTTACTTTATATTTTATATTTTATACTTTATATTTTATATTTTATATTTTATATTTTTACTTTATATTTTAGATTTTAGATTTTAGATTTTTTACTTTATATATTAGATTTTATATTTTAAACTTTATATTTTATATTTTGTACTTTATATTTTATATTTTATATTTTTTACTTTAAACTTTATATTTTATACTTTATATTTTATATTTTATGTTTTCAAATTTTATATTTTTACTTTATATTTTATATTTTATACTTTATATTTTATATTTTATATTTTATATTTTTACTTTATATTTTAGATTTTAGATTTTAGATTTTTTACTTTATATTTTATATTTTATATTTTAAACTTTATATTTTATATTTTATGCTTTATATTTTATATTTTATATTTTTTACTTTAAACTTTATATTTTATACTTTATATTTTATATTTTATGTTTTTATATTTTATATTTTGTTTTTATATTTTATATTTTTACTTTATATTTTATATTTTATATTTTATGTTTTATATTTTATATTTTTTACTTTATACTTTATATTTTATACTTTATGTTTTATACTTTATATTTTATATTTTATACTTTATATTTTAAACTTTATATTTTATATTTTATGTTTTATATTTTATATTTTTACTTTATATTTTAGATTTTAGATTTTATATTTTTTACTTTATATTTTATATTTTATATTTTAAACTTTATATTTTATATTTTATGCTTTATATTTTATATTTTATATTTTTTACTTTAAACTTTATATTTTATACTTTATATTTTATATTTTATGTTTTTATATTTTATATTTTGTTTTTATATTTTATATTTTTACTTTATATTTTATATTTTATATTTTATGTTTTATATTTTATATTTTTTACTTTATACTTTATATTTTATACTTTATGTTTTATACTTTATATTTTATATTTTATACTTTATATTTTAAACTTTATATTTTATATTTTATGTTTTATATTTTATATTTTTTACTTTATACTTTATATTTTATACTTTATGTTTTACACTTTATATTTTATATTTTATACTTTATATTTTATACTTTATATTTTATATTTATATTATATATTATTAATATCTCTATATTATTACTTCCTGTATCACGTAAACACTTCCCTTTACCAGAGACAGGACAGATTATTAAAACCCAGACAGAGCTGTCATTACAATTTCAGGTTTATTATGATCTCTGCTCCCATCACAAGACACAAGGCCTGCACAGAGCTTCCCTTTCACTGGATGGTTAAAAACCAACATTTATTGGTTATTCTGTTATTTGTGGCACTGCCATGGACCCAGCCATCCCGCTTGGGAAGGAAAACTGGAATTTTTGCTTCACTAGGACAGAGGCTTTGAGGTTCTCTTGGCCCTGAGAAAAGTAATTAGGCAGTGAAGGGGTTGTTCCCACTAATGAGGGAATGTTCCCAGTGGGATGGACTGGAGAGTGAGTGGCTCTCACCACATTCATGCCTGTTTGTACCACCAAAATTCACTTTCCACTCCGTTCCTCCCTAGCTGTGCCCTGCCAGCTAAACAGATCTAAATGTGAAGCTTTAAAAGGCATAAAGTGATCTACAAACTGAACCTAAAAATTAACTCACAACTCATCGACTCCTCATGTGACCAAACCTGTCATCAAAAATCCTCAGCCAGCATCATGATCCAACACGCAGAGGATGCTTCTTGCAATGCCAGTGCCACCAGCTGTAGGTGGAGATTTTTAGCTCCTTTTCAGGTTTCTGGATCTCCAGGTGGAGTTTCCGGACATCCAGCAGGGTTTTCAGGTCTGACAGAGGAATTCCACACTGGAAAGCTGCTTTGTTTCCAAGAATCACACACATCACGTTTCTTCTTTGAAACAACCAAAACAAAGGCAGAGTGAGAGTCCAGTGAGGGGTGACAAAGCAACCACCCCGGTGAAGCTGGAGAAAATGGCTATAAATGGGGAAAAAACAGGAAAAATGGGGCAAGAAACAGGAAAATGGGGCAAGAAACAGGAAAATGGGGCAGCTGGTGGTACTTACACCCGTGGGTGGGGACATCCAGGTGCCATCAGCTGAGCAAATGGTTTTGGGAGCTGTCCCTAAGTGTTTTTGAGGGGTTTTTGTAAATTATTTCCAAGTGGGAACGCATTGCCGTGACAGGAGGTTTGAGTCGGGCGCGTTGCGAAATGTGGGATAAATCATAAATATATAAATATATCAATTATCTCAAATCAGGATGTTCTTTGAGGTCGGGTCTTTGTCCACTTTCGAGCCTAATCAGCAAGAAAAGAGAATTAATCAGTGGAGCAGGCACAGATTCATCCCCGGCTCAAGGAGCTCCAGGGATAAATCAGGATGGCGATGGAGACTTTGCCACCTTGGCAGAATCCTCGCGGTCCCTGTGTCCTGTGGAACCCCAGAACGGTTTGGGATGGATGGGACCATGAATCTCATCTCGTTCCACCCCCTCGGGATCCAGATGTGCAGGGGAAGCGGGATGGGGTGGGCGGATCCAGATGTTGCCCCTCCTCCGCACTACAACTCCCACAATGCTCCGCGCTTGGCTCCACCCGCACTACAACTCCCACCATGCCCCGCGCTCCCGCCCACCGCCCCTCCGCACCTGGCGCATGCGCACAGCTCCATATGGCTCCAAGATGGCTGACACAGCGTCCGGCGGCTCCGGCACGGTAACGGCACCAAATCCCCGGGGCACGGGGCCGTGAGGGCGGGTCCCGGGCGGGGCCGGGAGGGGCGGCAGCGCCCGATCCCTACGGGGCCCGGAGGAGGCCCCGGCCAGGCCCCGGAGCGCGGAGGCGGCGGGTGGAGAAACGGAGGCGCTGATTGGCTGGAGGGCCTGCGGGGAGGCGGGATTTGATTGGCTGAGGATGGGGCGCTCGGATTGGCTGGCGGGGAGCGGGGCGGGGCGTGAGGGGACAGGTCCTTAAAGGGGCCGCGTCCCAAAAGTGTCAGGGGAGGTTCTATAAGGACAGGTGTGTACATCTATGTGTATATTCACATAAATATAAATATAAATATAAATATAAATAATATAAATATAAATATAAATATACACATACATGTGCCCATGTGGGTATGTGTGTATAGGATGCACGTGTGTGTGTGTGTACCTGTGTTCCTGCTCTGTGACCCTGCCCAATCCCTGCTCCCAGACCATTCCATCAGCTCCCACACCCTGCTCCCTGCCTCATCCCATCCCATGGATCACATCCAATGGATCCCATCCCATCCCATGGATCACATCCAGTGGATCCTAT